TGTGGTCAATAGTGTCAAACGCAGCAATAAGATCCAGTAGCACTAATAGAGAGATACAACCACGATCATAAGAGCAGGTCATTTGTAACTCTAATGAGAGCAGTCTCAGTACTATGATACGGTTTAAATCCTGACTGGAAATCCTCACAGATATAATTTTTCTCTAAGAAGGAATATAATTGTGAGGATACTACCTTTTCTAGTATCTTGGACAGAAAAGGGAGATTCGAGATCGGTCTGTAATTAACTAGTTCTTTGGGGTCAAGTTGTGTTTTTTTTGATGAGAGGCTTAATAACAGCCAGTTTGAAGGTTTTGGGGACATATCCTAATGACAATGATGAATTAATAATAACAGTCAGAAGAGGATCTATGACTTTTGGAAGCGTGATGCCAAGTCTTTTATTAACTGAGTTTTACATAAGGGATTCAGTGTGTAAAAACTACATTTAATTAATTGTTGACTGTGGCAAATTAATTTGCATGGTGATGTTGAAATTTGTTTTGAGGTCCATGATGTATCCAAATACTATCTGTGGTGTGTAGTTACTAAGTAAACCTGTGTCTGTACAACAGATTCTCTGCCAGCCTCTTGACATGTTTGTAAAACTACTTGAGGGATAACATGTCATTTAAAGGGGTCATATGATGCGATTTCAAGTTTTCCTTTCTCTTTGGAGTGTTACAAGCTGATTGTGCATAGATAAGATCAATCACAAACCTGAAATGTAACAATTAATGATCTTAATCTCCGATTTAGATTTTAAATGGTCCTATGCGCGGCGCTGCTGTTCAAATGAGAATCACTTACAAACAGCCACTGTGTCGAAATATTTATTTTATTCTTATTTCATTTTAGTTTAATACGTAACTTTTGTTTTATAGTTTTATGTTTAATAATACCTTAGAGTCTTCATGTTTTGTCACAGAAGCGATTTAACAGCGCTTGCGTGAACCGGTCTGAGCCTCCGCCTAATCTGACAGGACCAGCCGCACTACGGTGAACGCTTGGCTAAACTGGCTCCTGAAATATTAATTAGGTAACGTCATGGTCGATCAATAGGCCTTTCTGATTGGCTGAAAGGCAGGCGTTTTTAGGCGGGCCCTGTACAGCTGACGAATAAACGAAGATAAGTACCATCTTATAAATATGAATTAGATTACGTGCCTGCCCCCCCAATGAACGTACCTGAGAAACGTCAGCGCGATCTAATTAATATTCATAAGCAAAACCGCCGCAATAGTAGGAATCGTATTTCCAACAGCGCAATCATGAAGCGGGATGGTGGCAGCCGGTGGCCCTGGTTACTGTCGTTAGCCGAAGACTAATTTATTACGAGAAAAACATGCGTTGTGAGAGGAGAAGCGCGAGCTGTGTGATCGTTGAAGCGTTAATGTATTAATGTTAATTATATTCGTGTATTTCCTTGAAGAAGGAGCGGGATACATGACAGACACACAATCCCTTCAGGACATGTGAGTGTACTTACATTAGACAGCCATCTTGCGCTTTTAACAACGATTGTTGCTTTTATTTACTGCATCAAACCCAAATCAAACGTATTATGTTAATGAGGCTTTGATGCATTATTCATAAGGAGTTTATATCTATGACATGGTAGCGTGGATCACACTTGCAGTGCTTTAATTACAATGTCTTACTCCTCAGGGTTGTTGAAAGCATAAATATAATAATATGAGTTTGTTTTCAGGCCTTCATCTACCTCTACAAGCAAACACACACATGTAAAGATAGCAGGTGTATTTTTATAATAATATGGTGTTGGTTCTGCATCCAGCACTTCTGGTCCACCTTGCTCTGAAAGCTTAATATAACCTTATGACAGTATGTATGCAGCTTACTTGTACTATACTATAGTGTACTAGCAGTATCAGCTATAAGGAGCTGCTGAGGGAATTTGTCCAGCCTCTCACTGCGTCCTGGCAATGCCCTGTATAGTAAACAGCATGTGGGGGTCGAATGCCTTCAGGTCAGGCTGATACCTGATACATGTCCTGGTGACAGTGGAGCCATTGTGCACTTACTATAACCTACTGTAGTGTTGTTAGTGTGTTGTATACCACATCTCCCATAGAAGACGAAACCAGTATAGCTCAAAGGTGTTAACTGTCCAGGTAGTTTAAAGGGGTCATATGATGCGATTTCAAGTTTTCCTTTCTCTTTGGAGTGTTACAAGCTGATTGTGCATAGATAAGATCCCTGAAGTTGCAAAGACTAAAGTCTCAAAACCAAAGAGATATTCTTTGTCAAAGTTAAGACTCTGCCACGCCCC